GCCCGGCCATCTTTTTAAAATTGAGATGTTTAAATGGTTGACTCCACATAGTCCAATGACATTGCTGCATCCCTTAGAATGTTCTAGAAATGTTTTAAGTCACTCTTTTTCCTTCCACATTCTATAGTTTTCTGAGCAAATGAACTTCCTGTGCCCTCTCCATCTTCTGGTGGAGTCAGGATGCAGAAGCACCTAAACAGGTGGAAGGATGGGCTCCTGCATCCATAACTGTTTCTTTGGGGGGTTGACCTGTATGTTTAAGGCTCTTTATTTAAATGTGTTCTGTATCTTATTGGACATTAGTGACTCTTGAACACTGCAACTCTGGGATTGGGAGACTGTAAAATTCAAGTCACGGTCATAGTCATACTCTTGGTCCTGAGGCTCTAAATGGTAGTTAGCTCTATCTGACCCTACATGTTGATCTTTCCCTAAGGACTCTGTGTTCATCAGGTCACTGCACTCCCGTCATCCTGTGCCCATTGTTATGTGAACTAGACACTTTACAGCAGAACTACAGGAAAAGAGTAAAGTCTGGCTCTACTGAGGGATGCCAGTGATCAGGCAGGTCAATACTCTTCTAACTCATCCCACCCATATCCAGCCCACCTTCTCGGTTCTATAATTTTGAGGATATATAACAAGTCAACAGTGTTGCCTTATGAAACAGAATATAGCTATGAAGAAGTGCAGGGCCATGTGGCAGTACGGAGACCTTCAAACTTTTGGGGGTAATTATTCATATTGAAAGAATGAGTTGATAATATAAGCAACAACAAAAATAGAAGTGGTCAGAGTGGAAGGAAGTTATGTAATCACAAAGTCTGCCAAGCTTGCATGACCAACAACCCTCAGGAAAAAAAAATGGTTATAGTTGGTCAGGAAGGAAAGGGCCATGTGTGTTGTTGCATATTATTTACAAAAAGATAGCCATGATGGCATGCCAATTTTAAAGCTCGAAGAAAGGGTTTTCAGTGTTGTCTCTGCAAAACAAAAAGAAACGGTGTTTGAGGAGATTCATGTTTAAACTGTATAAAACTTTACAGCATGTGCACATGTATGAATTGTCACACAGTACTGCATAAAAATGGACAATTTTCATCCTTTAAAGCGTCAACTAAAATGAAATTGAGTTAAAAACACATCCATCTCTGTCACCCTGAGCCCTGACATTTACAAGTGGTAGAAAGAGAGAAGGCCAGAGACAAAGTCCTCACCATGTAAACCACAGCACTGACCCACCAGCAGGGCTGGAGCAATACACAAGCTGTTCTGTGACCACAGGCAGAGATGAGGCTGGACCCACGGAAGTGAAAGCCCCTGTCCTCCTCAGCAGTCACGTTAACTCCTTAGTTACAATGTGCTGCAGATCACCTTGGTGCCTGTGAGTTCTGCACAGTCTACAGATGTCAGCAGGCTATCCTAATCTCTAATGCTGCTTTACCTACGACTGTGTTTTCTCTAGGGACCTAGTGCGATTGGCACCGACACAAGCTCATTCTTTCAAAGTGGTAAAATGCTCCCTGGGTTATAAGGTCAGGAGAAGGGAACTTCTACAAAGCAGGGATGAGAACAAGCCCCGCTTAGCACCTTGCAATGCACAGCAAACAGGAGGCTTCCCTTGTAATGTCACATCCCGAAGGGCAGGTCTTCCCTCCCCGCCTGAGACCTGCAGAACCCAGAGGGATTAATACACCAAGAGCTGTTGTCCTCTGAGTGTGCTGGTGGCAAAGGGCACATTCTGAATGTTTTGTTCCCACAATGCTATCCATTCCCCAAAAAAGAACATGCTTGCCTGAGTAGGGAGTGTTTCTACAAGATACATAAGCCAAGCAAATGGGTCCATTCTGCTGCAGCAATAAACTCATTGCACAGGAGAGATTATTAGCTCTGAGACAGATGGACTTCTACGGAAACAGAAAACAAGCAGGTCTCCAGACATGACGGGCCTCCTCTCCTGGCAGGCAGTGGAACATGTCTCTGGTATTACTGTCTAAGCAAAAGCATAAAATGGTCCAGCCTCTGATTTCCTTTTAGCTACAGCTATAGTTATATCATCTTAACAGATACAGTCAGTAATTTTAAAAAGTATTCTACATTAGGGCTGGAGAGATAGCTCAGCAGTTATGAGCTTCTCCAGAGGACCAGAGTTTGATTCCCAGCATCCATATGGAGGCTCACAACCATCTGTAACCTGACGCTCTCTTCTGGCACCCTCAGGCACTGCATGCACATGATGCATAGACATACATGCATGCAAACACCCATACACATAAAATACAAATAAATGTTTTTAAATTCATTCATCTGAAGGAAAAGGAAAAATAATTCCTCCTTTAGGAATTTCTACAAAATGGAAAGTTCCACTCATCTTCTGCTTTTAATTTGTGGCTTTGTTTTCTTTGGGGGAAACTAAGGGAGATACCACAAGGAAGGGGAAAATGGCTATTGAACTGTGTCAGTTAATGAGTCAGTAAACAGAGCAATCAGACACTTACAGAGGGAGAGAATGATGCTTACTGTGATTTCTCAATGAACAGTTTTGTTCTAAGAAAGTGGAAAGTGTGCTGGGTATCTCAATCAGCAAGGGAACGCTGCACATTTCACTGGTCCAGGACACCAACTGTCTTCCAGTATTCCTACCAGCTGTTACTTCCTAGATGAACATAAAATTAGAGCTATTCCCATGTGAGGAGTGACTGTTTTGCAGTCTTCTCCGGAACTCTTCCTCGATGGATTTTTATTTTTTTAGAAAAATTATCATTTTAAAGATGGCTACTAAGATAGGTAAAAGATTTCAATATTGTGATAAATCTTTCTATGAAAGTCTTTTCTAAGGTACAATATGTAACTGTTAGGGTTACCAAAAACTGGTCTCTGATTCATAAAGAAAATCCCTATTCAATGTTGAGATTTCTACATGCTCAGAATCTGTCCCCAGCCTGGCTTGCTGCCCTTGGTACAGCTCTTCTCCAGGCACAACTCTTCCGAGTTTTCCTTTACGTGGAAGCACTACATCCTGCGCACTTACTTTAGCTGTGACCTTAAAGGGCATGGGACAGATATTAGGAGGGCTCTCTAGCGATGAATCACAAAACATAGACATTTTATTTAACTTCTGCTTTCTATTTGTGGCTCTGCTCTTTAGGGAAACCACTGAGCTGAGACCAGATGGAAGAGAAAGCAGCTAGCTCTATGTGAACAGTCAGGAAGACGAAGGCAGAGCTGGCAAGTCACACGAGAATGAGTTACATCCTGGTGCTGTGGAAATGAATCCTGGATGCTGAGGCAAGGGTGAGGCGGCCCAATCACTAACTAAACATCACAGGTCTTATGCACTTTCTTCCAGATGTTTCCCCATCCAGTCTCCATCTCCCAACTAAACATTTAAAAAAAAAAAAAAAAAAGAGACTTCCTTGAAATGAAGAGCTCTCCTGAGCTATGGTGCTTTCTGCCTCTCTAGAGTTCATAACACAATAGTGTCTTTTTAAGCTGCTCCCTTTGAAGTAGGCTACTGAGTAGTGGACACAGACCCTGTGAATTTTAGAGAAAGAAATAGTATTTTCACACACAGTGAAGAAATATTGGGGGATACCTGAATTGGTCCAGCAGGTTGTTCTTTAGTGATAGGATTCTGAGAGAGAGGACCATGATATCAAAAGATAAAGAAGATAGAAGATGAGGAAGTTTGGAATCAGGGGGTCTTGCACAAGCTATATCTTATGCCAAGCAAACTTATTGAGAAGTGCAGCACCTTATACACTCTTTTCAGGGAGAAATGGTAGAGAGTCAACAGAAACTACCATACAATGGGACTAAGTTAGCAAGAAGCTAATAAAATAATGCTGCACAAGGGGAACACAGGGTATCTCAAGAGCATTATAGATCAAGCACACAGCAACCTTGGGGCTGACAACCACAGCCATATACAGTAGGAAGAGTTGGCTTCTCAGGATCCAGCTATTATTAGCTCAGCCATGCTATGTTTCTTCTCCATAAGTCAGGACCTCAGAGAAAGTCTTGGTTGATCAGTCCAGCTCTTAACAGATACCTACCGTATTTAAAATACTATGCTATGGAAAACAGTATCTAAGTGCTTTACAATGCATGTTTTTGTTTGCTGTTCAGAACAACTATGGGAACACTTTGACCTCAATTTAATTCAGACAAAACTGAGGCTTGGAGAGATTGAAATGGTTCAACATCTCTCTCTCATAAACACACACACACACACACACACACACACACACACACACACACACACACACACACATCCCACTCTAAACAGAAAAGAATTTCAGTATAAAGTTATTTTCTTCTCTGTATAGTTGGTACAGGTTTTGTATTTTCAGTTCCTTTTATAATGTTAATGTCCAGGCCCCTTTGCCCTAGAATTACATACATTTCTCTTGTTCTCTGAATCACATGGTTCATTTTGCAATTTCAGCGGAGAACTTTTTTCTATGTGTAATGCTGAAAATTCACTGACTCTGTGAATTTGTTCGGGACTCACATGATCCTGTAATATTCCTACAGGGGGGATTAAAGAGGGCAGTGAAAATGAATTCCTTATCATATGTCCCCACGCCAGGAAACGGATGTTGTGAAGCGGCTGCAGGAAGCAGGTGGCAGCAGTCCCGCTAGCCTGCTGTGGTGGTGCTTCTTTACAAGGACGAGCGTTGACTCTCCAGCCTTTCTGGAAGTTGTGATTCTGCCATTTAGGACTCTTCCTTTGGGCTTAGTTCCTCGGAGGTAGAACACACATAGTAAAAATGAGTAATAAGCAGTTGACGAATCCCATGTCTTCCCACATGATGGTCAGTGGCCATGCTACTGAGCTATGGTCAGTTTTTAATTTTGAGGAGAGTGAAGGACAAATCAATGATACGTTCTACTTTTTACAAATTTACAAAATATATCTTGGAATATCATTCAGAAATAAAACAAATAAAAATTTAGAATAAAATTTAGTGAATAAAGCAAAATGAAAACTGAACAAACACAAATAATCTGTTTTTATAGTAAATAAAATGTCAGAGTACACATACATATATAAATAACTTACATATTTAAATAATTAAACAAATATTTTAAGAAGATGGATTATCTTTGTGTTCATCAAAAATAATTACTTCTCCTAGAGTTGAACACAATGTAGCTTACTACTCTTAAAAATATCTAACACTGATTGAATGGATTCATCACAAAATTACAATAGAAAAGTCTTTGAAATATCAGGGAGAATCATTTCATTTCTGTGTTAGAATAAGACTCCATCTTGACAGAAAGATGGCTAAGACAGACAGGGCTCTCTCTCTCTCCAGACTTCTGCTCTGACCACAGAGGTCAGAGGGCACAGGGGCTGTGTTTCTTCTCCTTCAGGTAGACAGCAATCCTATGGAAGTAGTTCCTCACAGCCACCAGGGAGTCTTCCTGGCTGGAGGAAGTTTTTTGCACCTCACCCTGCTCCATCAGACAGGCTTGCAGGTCTTTGAGCTGGTGGTGGAGGCCAGTGCAGAATGTGTCTAGGAGGCTTGTCTCCCAAGCAGCAGATGAGTCCTTTGAGCTGAAGAGGATCAGGACCTGCTGGGTCAGCTCCTGCAGGACAGGGATGGCTTGGACCTTCTGGATCTGCTGGGCATCCACCTTCTCCAGAGGGAATGCAAAGTCCATTCTGTCCTTCAGGCAGGAGAAAGAGGAGAGTCTCCTCATTTGTGCCAGGAGTGTGGAGGCTCTCTTGTTCCTGATGTGATGAGTCTGAGGCAGGTCACATCCCAGACAGCAGCTTGACCAGGAGTGCATCATCACCAGGAATGTCAGGAGAGCACAGGGCCTGGCCATTGTAAATGTGGCAGATGCTGCTGGTCCTCTGGGCTCTGTGGTCCTGAACCTTCCCCTCTAGGTTCTCTACAGCCTTTGTTTTGTTGCTATGACTTAAGTAAGGAATGTTTGAGGTTAGTTTTCTTATTGTCACCCACGTTACTTTCTACTTCTGTTTTTATTTTCTTCCACATATTTTCTACTGGGTCCAGAGCAGTGTTTCTCAATTGTTTTGTTTACCCTCTCCTGTCTCCAGAGCCTTGCTAGAAATTTTTTCCTAACTGTACTCATAATTAATTTTCAATAATAAATACAAAATAATATATTTATGTACTTTATATCTTTTTTAGAAATAAGAGAAATTGCAAAATTTTGTTTTAAACTCAGCAATGTCAAAATGACAAACGTAAGTAGAGTTAAATTTAAAAACTCAGCCGGGCGGTGGTGGCGCACGCCTTTAATCCCAGCACTCGGGAGGCAGAGCCAGGCGGATCTCTGTGAGTTCGAGGCCAGCCTGGTCTCCAAAGCGAGTTCCAGGAAAGGCGCAAAGCTACACAGAGAAACCCTGTCTTGAAAAACCAAAAAAAAAAAAAAAAAAAAAAAAAAAAAAAAAAAAATTAAAAACTCTTGATATTTATTCTAACTTTATAAAAGTATTTTGCCCTTTATGTTTAGTATATTTCATTTCTGTCAAATTCTAATTTATTCTTGTATAAATTACTTACTTATATGCTTTAGTGGCTTCTAATGTAATATATATATTTATATAAACTGTAAAGAATCATATTACATTTACAAATGTATAAATTTATAAACTTGTATATCTATAAAGTGTAATCTTTAAGCATCTTTCAAAATTGCAGAAAACTACTAAAATATGTTACTTTTTAAAACTTTAGTGTATATAAATTAATTGTTTAAACTTTCTCTCCTCTCTCTCTCCCTCCCTCTCCCCCCACCCCCCTTGGTATATGGTCATGTTGGAGGGTGCTCTCACCCATGTATGTACATGTGGAGGCCAGAGGTTGACATTGGATGTCTTCCTGTCACCTTCTCCTTATTCTTAAGACACAGTCTCTTGTCTGAACCAGAGCTCCTCCGTCTCAACTGGACCAGCCGGCCAGCAAGCTCCCATGACCCTCTGGTAGTGGTTTGAATGAGAATTCCCCCCATAGGCTCTGGCATTTGAAGACTTGGTCCCCAGTTGCTGGTGCTGTTTTGGGAGGCTTAGGAGGTGTGACCTTGTTGGAGGCATAACGCCACTGGAGGCAAGCTTTTGGAGTTTAAAGACTCATACCATTTCCAGTTTGCTCTCTCTGTTTCACGATTGCAGTTCAAAGTGTGAGCTCTCAGCCTGCTGTCCCAGCCACCAGACTTCCTTGCTGCCGTGCTTCCCCACTGTAAAAGACTCGTATCTCTCTGGAGCCATAAGCCAAATCAACCCTTTCTTCCGGAAGTTGTAGTGGTCACTGTGTTAAATCACAGCAACAGAAAAGAAACTGATACAGAAGCTGGTACCAGGAGTATTGGTTACATGTCTATAGCTGTGAGAAAACACCATAACCAAGAAACTTTATAGAAGAAAGAGTATGTTTAAGCTAATGGTTCCAGAGGGTTAGTGTCTTTGACGGTAGAGCAAATCCATGGTGGCAGAAGCAGGGAGCTGAGGGCTTACATCTTGAACCACACATCCAAAGCAGAGAAAGCAAACTCCAAATGGCATGAGTCTTTCAACTTGCAAACTCTCTCTCCATGAGAGAGAGTTTCAATGAAGCCACACCTCCTAACCAACTGGGGACCAGTATGCAAATGGCCGAGCCTAGGGAGGACTTCTCATTCAAAGCACCATGGCCCCTGTCACTGTCCTCCTCTCCATAAGCTCCAGGTTGTAGACATGCACCACTGCTCCTGGCTGTTACGTGGGTACTGAAGCTCTGAACTCAGGTCCTCACACTTGCTCCACAAGCACTTTACCTCATGTAGCTGACTCCCCAACCCTGTCATGCTGTGGGATGTTCTGTATGGCAAATGTGTTGCTGATTAGTCAATAAATAAAACACTGATTGGCCATTGGCTAGGCAGGAAGTGTAGGCGGGACAAGGAGGAGAACAAAGCTGGGAAGTGGAAGGCTGAGTCAGAGAGACACTGCCAGCCGCCATGATGACAAACAGCATGTGAAGATGCTGGTAAGCCACGAGCCATGTGGCAAGGTATAGATTAATGGAAATGGATTAATTTAAGCTGTAAGAACAGTTAGCAAGAAGCCTGCCACAGCCATACAGTTTGTAACCAATATAAGTCTCTGTGTTTACTTGGTTGGGTCTGAGGGGCTGTGGGACTGGCAGGTGACAGAGATTTGTCCTGACTGTGGGTCAGGCAGGAAAACTCTAGCTACACTGTCATCAGTTTTTAATTTTACTTGCTGCTAGATTTTAATATAGACACAGCTAACTTTTTTCTTTTCAGAACTTGTCAGTTATTCAAGTGTTGAATTATCTTAGTTAAACTAATAAAATATAAACAATATGCATACAATTCCTAGAATCACAGTACACTCAGCATTGATGTTAAGCATAAGCAATACATACAAGACAGCCAATGATAGGCCACCAGTGCATATGAGGACAGAGAAAAAGTCCAAAATAGAAAATCCCAGTCAACTATTGCTTGTGGCTTGTAGCATTCATCTTGCACATATTTTAGTTATGTTCTATGAGTTCAGTGTCAATGATTCTAATAGGGTATACAAGAAAAATGTAAAGTAAAAAAAAAGAATAAGACTGTGTTAGAGTTGAGTTTTAGTGGTCTATCGATCATTATAATAGCCTAGATTATTTTTACATTCCCACAAACCAACCTTCTATTATATGGAAACAATATTATTCCCCAATGAGAATATTCAATAGTGATATCTTACTGAACTTTTCAAATTGCATTAACATTTCTCTGAGTTTTCAGAAAGCAATTCCTAGTTAATTCTTTATAAATAAGAAAAGTGGTATTAATGCTAAATGCCAATAATGGGATGCAGACACGGCAAGGTAAACAGCTGCATAGTCACCTGTAACACGAATTTCTAAACGGTCTTAATAACAAAAAAAACCGGAGGCAGATATTGGGGTGAATTCTGAAAGATCAGAGAAGCAGAACAAGCCACAGCTAACCTTACCTCGCCAACTTCTCAGCCAATCCTGTTCCCTCAAACTGGGTGTCTCTGAGTCCTCATCCGAATGCATCTCAGCTGAACTGCTGCTAAAAAGTCTAAAAGCTTAAAAGCCTTTAGTTCCTGATCCTCACGCTTTATATACCTTTCTGCTTCCTGCCATCACTTCCTGGGATTAAAGGTGTGTGTCACCCTGCCTGGCTGTTTCCAATGTGGCCTTGAACTCACAGAGATCTGGATGGATATCTGCCTCCCAAGTGATAGGATTAAAGGTGTGTGTGCCACCATTTTCTGGCCTCTTTGTCTACCTAGTGGCTGTTCTGTTCTCTGACCCCAGATAAGTTTATTAGGGTGCACAATATATTGGGGGATACAATATCACCACAGTCACCCTATGCAGCATGTAGGTGGCAGACATTCTTTCTCTCCCCCTCTTTCACAGAAAGCAAACTCCTTTGCACCCCCAATGATTAAGAACAAAAAGAAAACCAAGTATGGATAAGTATAATGAAAAAAATAAACCAAGGGAAGTGACACCCCACTGGGAAATAGTGATAAGCTGTAGCTAGCAAGATGGAGAGTGGAGACCGTAAGGCAGAGCAGAAGAAAGATGGTTGGAGCTCAGAGCTCAATATACCAAGTACAGAAGGCCTCAGAGCAATCAGTCCCTAGCTCTGAATCCAGCTTTCACAGAGCTTCAAGGAAGTCATGCTGCCCAACACCAAAAGACTGCATACAGCAGAGACCCAGCCACGCTCTCAGCTGACAAGCGTTGACTGCATCAAGTTCTCCCCTACAACATCAGTAAACTTGGAAATCAGTGTATTTCTCATGTCTGACAGGAAACAATAAGTTCAAAGAATATCTCTCCAACATAATAGTTTCAGATAGTAAAGGTAATATTAATAAAGAATAGCACATTTGTATTGTATAGTGTGTTAATCACCAGTCAGACATAGTTCTCAGAACTTAAAAAAAAAAATCCTTGAGGCTGGACAGATGGTTGAGACAGTGCTGGCTGTTCTTTCAGAGGACCTGCATTTGATTCCCAGCACCCACATGGTGGCTCACAACCATCTGTAACTCCAATTCCAGGGAATCCGATGTTCTCTCGTGGCTTCCATGGGCACCAGGGACACAAATGTTGCACCTACATACATACAGGCAAAATATCTGTACACATAAAAAATTTTAAAAAATTTAAATCAATCCTTCTTTTAGTCCACAAAGAATGCCCTTATTTTCCCTATCTTTCAGGCTCTACCATATTCCCAGCCTAATTAAGTCACTGGAGATATGAGTATGTAAAGCAGTGTAAGGTTCTGCTGTAAGCTCATTTAGGAAGAAACAATGAAAAGCACACAGAGCTTTGGGCATGTAGAACCACAGCCAGCACACAGAGAAATCCTACCTTGAGCCCTCGGCCCTTCCCGCCTCTCTGGGCTTCCTGCCATGAAAAGTTGATTCTAAGCTGATCCACGGACTCCAGCAGTGTTCTGCCTAAACTCTGGCAGAGACTGACTGCTTCAGCTCCCTTTTCTTATCCTATAAGCAGTTTTTGTCTTCGTTGTCTTCCGTTTTCATAGGCTTCCACATATTTGTAGAATACTTGTGTACTCTAGATGCATATTTGAAATAACTCTTTCAAAAATGGCATATTCCTATTGACTTATTTAGCTATTTAAAGACTTTCAATCCTCATTTACAAGCCTAAGACTGTGGGTCAGGATTGGGCTGGAGACAAGCAGTGAATCAGAATTAAATTGGTGAGCTAAGCTAAGAGCTCACTCCTGGAAGGGGCACCCGAAAGATGACTGATATGGAAGAGAAAACAAGACAAGGCGGCAAAAGACTCAATCATCCAGCTTGCCAACTGCTTGGTGTCTGGAGTTTCTGGTCAGTAGCCTGGTCAAATTCACTGCTGGTTAAGGTTTTGCTTTGGTGAACTGGGCCCAACTAATGGCCGATGTCAGGACATATCAAAGAAGAAAGCTTGGGGTGAAGGGTGGATACATTTGCAGGGGTGAAAAGTATTTTGGAAGAAAAGAAATATGGAAGTGGAGGAAGTTCCCCCCTTCCGTTTTTCAGATGGATTATGATTATTATAAAAAGTGTTTTGGTTTCATTCCAGAAATATAAAGATAATTCAGCATATGGTAACCAACAAGTATATCATAAAATAGGGTGGAAGATAAAAATCATGATCACCCCAAGATTCAGAAAAAAAGATCTGATAAAATTCATGATAAAAGCTCCATAAACATGGGCTATGGACTTGACTCAGTAGATAAAGAGCTTGCTGCACAAGCATAAGAACTGAGTTCAGATCCCCAGCATCCATGTCAGGGCCAGGCACTGTGGCACGTATTTGTATGTCCTGTACTGGCCCAGGAAGGCAACA